GGGGTTTTGGGTTTAGGATTTAGGGGTTTAAGGTTTAAGGGTTGTAGTGCTTAGGGTTTAGGGTTTGGGTGAAAACCCAAATCAGCCTTAGAAACGTCACCACTATCATCACCATGGATATTGGACTTCGCACTGGTGGCTGTGCCGCCCACATGTCGATTTGAGGTTCACGGACCCCGGGCACGAATTTTCTGTTCTGCGGGTTCGGGGGACATAATGTAGGGAACAATTAGAACCAGGTTTTGGGTATATTATACTATAGTGATAATAAGGAACCCCCGAAATTATTGAGGCCCCTATATTATTCTCTAGGAATTCTGGGAGGTGCATTTCTCCGGTTCTGTCGTGCATGTCTTCCGGTGCTGTCCATTGTGTGTCTGGTGAAACACTCTGCGCCACTGGGCTCGGAACCCCCGCTAACCTAGATAGCCGAAATCACCCACATCGTCAAACTAAGGGGCAATCAGAGAGGACAACGTGGGGGATGACAACCAAGCCCCAGTATAGTTCTCTTTATAGTTCGTTTTAAAAATCTCTCTGCCACCGGCATCTTTGCGTGCCAGGCGGAGATTTAGTCACTGCAAAGAAACTGCCTGCCGTGCTGTGCTTGCAGCCGTGTGCACACTGCCGTTTGCTGCACATTCGGCAGCTAGGCACGGCGAAAGCAAAGTGAAGCCATTGCGGCAAAAATCATTGAAGTAGCTGTGTCGGGCGGCTACTGGCGACCGAGATATAACGTCGAGCACACATGTGCGAGAAAGTGTGAGACAAGCCACGGCGAATGCAAAAACCAGGATAGCTCGTGCATCCCGGGAAGATTCCTGTTCTATAGATGCTCACTCTGAAAAAACCCACTTCTCGTGGTGGGGCAAATGTCGGGCAAGCCTCAGCGCAAGCTTCGCAAGCACTGCAGCCCTGCAGCCCGTGCTGTTTTTGGCCATGAGTTGCCACGACTTGCCAAGCCTTGTACAACTTCTGCGGACGACGCGTCTGCACCGCGATCCGCAAGATCCCCCCGGAAAAGTGAGCGCCAAAAGGCAACGTCTTTGGGCCAAAGGGTAGCCAGAAGTCAGGTTTTTGCATGACTTCAAAACACCACCTGCATATCAGAGACTGGCATAGGGTCCCGGACAAACACCATCGCTGCGGGACCCTAGGGCAGGAGGGAAAATACGTCCGAGCCACGGAAAACTGTGGACAGGACAGCGCGCGACTGCCAGCTTTTCGGGTCTCTGATGGTCCCATGACCTTCATTGTAGTTGGTAGAACCCAGAGACTTTTAAAGGGTCAACCTCCGAAGCTGCCAACGTCTCCCTCCTTCTGGGCAGGAACCCTCATGATCGCCTCCTTTGGGGCCCAAATATCTACTAAGTAGCTACCATATTAGTACTTGGATCCTTTAGCATTCAACCCAAAACCGCCAAACCCGGAAGCCTTAAACGCTTAGCCCTCAAAGCTCGAAACGCCTTGAGAAGGGAGATGTTAACACTCCGATGGACAGTCGTTATTGCCAGAGCCGCTTCAATCGGTAGGCAGCTCAGCTCAACGCGCACAGCCTGGTCCCTTATGTTCAGAAGCCCCATCCCGCCCATCCCGAGGAAAAAACCAAGAAACCCGCATATGCTCTAAACCTTAGAGCCTCCACCCTAAACCTTACGCCCTTGAACCCTAAGCCCTAAAGCGTCTGCCCTACACCC